CCCATTGGAAGGCTTATACCCAATGGGACAGTTATGCATGTGCCACCAGTTGTTCAAGCTGCCTAGCAGTGAGGCATACAAATTACGGCCCACTGTGAGCTTGAGCATATTAAGCAGTCACTCATTTCCCCAGCCCTGACAATTGCTAATCTGCTTTCTATCTCTGTGGATATGCCCAATTTGTTTGTGGTAATAGGATTGAAGCCAGGGCCTTCATACTGAGATATATCCCCTGCACTTTTTTTTTTTTTTTGAGACAAGACCTTGCTAAGTCACTAAGGTGCCCAGGGTGTGCTCAAATTTGCAATTCTCCTGCCTCAGCCTCCCAGAGTGTTGGGCTTATAGGCATGTGGCACCACAGCCGGCAGATATTCCCATTCTGGGTATTTCATATAAGTGGACTCATACAATATGTGATAATGTGTGTCTGGCTTCTTCTATGTTTTCAAGGCTCATTAAAGTTATATAGCAAATAGTAGTATTTCATCCCTTCTTATGACAGTGCATTATAAGCTTTGAATTTGCTTTTTTCCCCGTTCAACATAATGCCTATGAGATTCAACTATGCTGTTATGTGCCTGAGAAGATTCTCCATTTTTATCACTGAGAATTCCATACGTAGTAATATAAGTAGTATATACCAGTAGTATAGTTTATCCAGTCGCTGAAAAACATTTCACTCCTGATACTTTTTCCAAAATACAATCATAGCTCAAGATAATTTACAACAAATGAGATTATAATACATATGTAAATGGCAAGTGAAAAACTCAAAACATACAATATATGTACAATATATCTACAATTCCAAAATCTAAAACTCCCTTAAAAAAACCAAAGTTTCTGGTAAATTTTAATCAAAGTATTTTGAGGCAACTATAAAGTGTGCCTATCTGTCTGTCTTTCTTTTTTGGTACCAGGAATCGAACTCAGATCCTTGCACTTGTGAGGCAGGTGGCAGAATCACTGAGCTAAATCTCCAGCTTTTTTTTTTTTTAGTACCAGGGATTGAACTCAGGTTCTTGTGCTTGCAAGGCATGTGGTGGCACCACTGAGCTAAATCCACAGGCTGACTTTATTTATTTATTGGGCGGGGGTACTGGGGATTGAACTCTGGTCTTTGCGCTTGCAAGGCAGGCCACCAAACCACTGAGCTAAATCCCCAACCCCCGACTTTATAGTCTTAGTCTTCTTATTCACAAATTTTGCTGTATAAGTACTAGACCTGAGTAAATATCCCTCAGAATTCATCTATGATGTATCTATTACATTTTATTGTTTTGTTTTGTTTGAGACAGAGTCTCATCATGTAGTTCAGGCTGGCCTTCAACTCACTATGTAGCCCAGGCTGGCTACAAACTTTCAGTGATCCTCCTGCCTCAGCCTCCTGGGTGCTGGAATCACAGGCACGCATCACCACACCCAGCTACTCACAGGTTCTTTTTTTTTTTTTTTTTTTAACAGGTTCTTGATAAAAGAAGTTACCTTATATTTAAATAGCTCTAAATGGGACAAAAATAAAATTACTAGAGTCAGTAAACAGGCATTAATATGCTCTCTGTTACACAGCAACTCCCCATTAAATCAATTAAGAGGAAGAACTCTACCCCACAATTCCAGTTATGAGTAACATCCACTGGCATACTTTTGCAGGTCGTCATCCAGCCCAAAATGACTGCGTTTTTCACTTATAAGTCAGCCTTTCTATTGAGATTCAAACATCTTCTTTTGTTATTTGTTTTTGAGACAAGGTCTCACTATGCTGGCCTTAAACTCACTATGTAGCCCAGGCTGGTCTCAAACTCACATTGATCCTCCTGCCTCAGCTTCCCAAGTGCTGGAATTACAGGCATGTGCCACTATGCCGGGCTCACAAATTATCTTTTAACAAGTAAATATTAAAGTTCTCTGAACATGAGTTAATTAGGGAATACCTAACTAAGGGTACTACCGGGAAACCTAAACTACCCTTTAACATGTCTCAATCATCTTGAACCACTGGTGGTACATTCATGACTGTCCCACTGAGCAGCATGGTACTGTCTTGTCCTGACAAGTGCTACTAGCCACCCAATGGGACAGTCAAGCTAACCCCATCATAAATATGATAATATGCTCTTCATCTGAGAGATCACTGCTGTTCCCCACCTATATGAAAGATTTATCTATTCCATCCATGTTGTGAACCACTGACTATTAAGTATTGCTGTCATGGAGCTTTCTTTTTTGTGAGACAGAGTCTCGCTGATGTAGTTCAGCTGGCCTTGAACTCATGGCAATTCTCCCGCCTCAGCCTCCCAAGTGCTGGGATTACAGGTGTACAGCCCCCTCCCAGCATGAAGCTAACTTTCTAGTGAGAATAATGAGATACACAAACCACCAAGAAAAAAATTAGTGACAGATCCAAAGCCAACAAACAAGGATATGATGAAAAATAACTAAAAGGTGATTTTTAGATTGGATGGAAATTAGATTTTAGATTGTATTTAGATTAGATTGGGTAGCCAGCTTCAGAGAGGTGACACTAAAGCCAAGAGCTTAAAACACAGAAGAGAAGTGAAAACCAGAAGAAAGAGCAGTCCAAAGGCTCTGACACAGAAAATAGTACTGGTCACAGTCAAGAGAAAAGTCTATACAGCAAAAGCAGGATAGGGCAAATACACAGCAGTATGACAGAGGTCAGACAGCCACCAAGGACTAGCTCATGTAGGGCTTCATAAATCAAAACAAAGGAGTTGGAAACTTCTTCCAAGTGAAGTCAAAGGCCTTCAGAGGGTTTTAGGCATGGGAGTAACAAGATCTGACTGATACTTTCAAAAATTCATTGTATTTCTCTCATAGAGATGTAGTATTAGTAAGATGGACACTGGTAATCTTATCTTTCATCAAAAAAAATGTATGTGTGTATATGTATGTAAAATACATTATCACTTCATATAAAAAAGAGCTGAGTTTTTTTAATACAACTGTCCTGAATGATTTCACATGTGCATACATCAATGCCTTTGGTCTGCCAATTATGATTCTAAGAGCTAATATAGTCAACAATTTTTAAAACTTCTCTTTGTATCCTATAGATTAATATAAATTTTACTCTAACATATCTGACAATTTAAATAGAAAGTAAATGAGTAATGCTCAGCAGGGTGGCACACTCCTGTAATCCCAGCACCTGAGAGGCTGAAGGAAGACTGTCATGAGTCCAAGGCCACCATGGGGCTACATAATGAGTTTAAGGCCAGCCTGAATTATATAGCAAGACCCTACTTCAAAAAGAAAAGAAAAAGGAGTAATACAGGAACTGAAATATCTGAACTGCTACTTCAACATTAAGACAGATCTTCTTTCCTAAATGTATCAATAAGGCTAGGAATTTAGCTCAGTGGTGCCACCGCCTGCCTGACAAGCGCAAGGCCCCAAGTTCGATCCCCAGTACCATAAAAAAACAAAAAGAAAACTCCTAAATATATCAATACTTAATGAAAGTACAGTTCATAGCACAAGATTGAAGCTGAGGCTATTACCCTTGAGTTAAAGAGTATCTCTAACCGGTATACTCCACTTTAGTTTTCAATGAAATTATTTATGGGATACATGCAAAAAATAAGTAACAAAAGTGAAGTTTACAAGAACAATATAACTATACTTAGTCATGTTTCTACAAATCCAGGGTTAATGTTTTCAAACAAAGAAATAAATGGCTTTCTTCTGGACTTAAAACAATATATTTTCTCAAGCATGAAGTTTATTTCTGTGGATAATTTTCCTCTAGAGAACCCATTGGAAGAAGCTATCTAATTTATCCAAAAATTCTAACTATGGTAAACTGTTTAAAAGTGAATTATATAATAAATGAATAAATAAAAATGAATTATAAGCCAGGAGTGGTGATGCACACCTGTAATTCCAGCACTCAGGAGGATCTCACCATGAGTTTGAGGCCAGCCTGAGCTACACAGTGAATTCAAGGCCAGCTTGGACTACATAGTGAGACAGCAAAATAAAAACCAAACCAAAAAGGCAGGGGGTGACATAATCTCAAAAATATGACATCCTCTTATGTGAAGATTTTTTTAACTGGCTAACTATAATTCTATGTTCTGTCAGAGCTTAACATCCTATCTTTGATGTAGAATTCTATAAAACAGGTACTTAAAGATTACTTTTATTTTTAAAACATATATCATATCATATTATAGCATGTAATCCTAAAAATACTGATCAAAACCTTGAGTGTCTGATATTAACCTTTGAATATTTTCTATAGTAAAATTTGAACGAACTGAATTAACTTGGTGCTCTGAAATATTATGAGGATACTATGCAAGCTTAATCTGCAGTTCAAACCAGCGTAGAGGTAAAAAAGGAAAAGCTTTCCTGGATTTATTCATGTCTTACAACATAACAGCTGTTGCAGGACTCTGTTCTTAGAGTAAGACTGAAAATTCAAGAAACCAGTAATTTGTATAATATCTCTGGAAAGTTAAAAAGTTTACTTTGAAGCAAGGAAATATAAAATTTTATATTTAGCAAATTTGTTAAATCCTACTGGGATTAAATCTAAGCATTCCACCACTATGAAGAATATAAACAGAAAATTTAATAACTTAATTATATAAAATATATTCAGGAACAGATGCTACAACACTTACTTTTCACAGGCATTCAGGAGAAATGGAACACCCACCCTGATTGCACCCATGTGGTAACATCAACAAAGAAGCACACCTAAGACTAAGGTTATAAGAGGTTTCTAGAAATCTTTTTACTTTCCTTTGAGACAGGGTCTCCCTTTGAAGTTCAGGCTGGCCTTGAACTCACAGAGATCCTTCTGCCTCAGCCTACTGAGTGCTGGGATTACAGATGTGTACCACCACACCCGGCTCTAGAAATCTTAATTTTGATTTCTTAAAAAGAAAAATTTTTTTCAAGTAGCATAAAATGCTGAGATCTGACAGACCCTTTCTAACTCAAGGTCATACACCTGTAAAGAAACTCACCTGTGTTATACTCCTTCAACTGCAACTCCTTTACAGGCATTCCGTTGGCAGTCCGAAAGGCATTAAGAATCTGTAAGAATATGGTATTTACACTAATGATACAAGTCATAGTCAAACACTATTATATTTTCCCTAGTGGTTTTATTCTATAAAAATGGTTATTTTGTAAAGGCAAAATTAAGTCATGCTTATTCAGAAATTCCCAAAAATGTAAGAAAAGCAGAAGAGTATAACCTTTAAGAACTCAAGTTTTCAAGCTAACTGTATTCCAAGCCTCTCCTGCTCACTTGTTTAACCTTTTAGTGCCCAGTTTCTCACCTATTAACATAAAATGATGCACTGAGCTCAGTTCAGGGCCATAGCATGTAAACTCATTCTGGTGAGGTTTTTCTGTAACTTTAACTGAACTGCTCTCTTGCTGCATTCAGGCCTGGGCTCAAATGTGGTATCTTTCAGTGATACCTTCCTAATTGCTCAATCTAAAATAGCCCCAATCCCAGTAACATTCTATCTTTACTCTTCTTTAGAAAATTTATCACTGTTATTATGTAATTTTTGTTTGCTTTTTATTACTTATGGAGGCAGTGACTTTATAATATTCACTGACACACAATACAAACTGAAAATCCCTAGTCCAAAAATGTGGAACCAAAAACGCTCCAAATGTTTTTCAGATTTAGAGTATTTTGAATTTCACATTATCAGATTAGAGATGTTCAAACAGTAAACTCTGCATAAATATTCCAAAATCTAAACAACTTTTTGCCCCAGTCATTCCAGGTAAGAGATCCTCCAACCTGTAGGTTGGAATACCTGGTGTGAACAGATTAAGAGTACCTACTCAAAAGAGTCTAATAATTAAGTGAACTAATGCTTATAAGCATTACACAATGCCTGGCACACAGTTTGCTTCAACATTCTGATCAATTCTTACATAAATTCTGCCATCATTTAGTAAACCAATTCTTTGTTACTTTTTTTTTTTGGTATTGGGGATTGAATTTGGGACTTTACGCTTGCGAAGCAGGCAGCGGAACCACTGAGCTAAATCCCCAGCCCCAAACCAGTTCTTTGAACTGAAGAGTTAGGCAGTCCTCAGTTTGTACTACTGTATATCAACCGCATCTTTATGTATGAACTCTTGAAATAGTATTCCTTACGAAACAATTACCAGGTTTAAAGTCAGCAATCATTTCAAATAATGCTTTCTACAAACCTCACCTCAGTGAATACATGTGTAACTGGTAAAATCTGAATAAGCTCAATGGATTACATCAAAGTCAATTTTCTTGGGCTACGGATTTAGCTCAGTGGCACTGCACCTGCCTCGCAAGCTCAAGGTCCTCAGTTCAATACCCAGTACCCTCCCCCCAAAAAAAGTCATTGTCGAGTGTAGATACTGTACTATAATTATGCAAGATATTAACAATGAGAGAAGCTGGGTGAAGAATATACATGGTATGCCCATACATCTTTGTACCTTCCTGTAACTCTAATTTTTTTTTTTTTTTTTTTTTTGACAGAGTCTCACTATGTAGTTGAGACTGACCTGGAACTCACTGTATAGCCCAGGCTGGTCTCAAACTCACAGTGATCCTCCTGCCTCAGCCTCCTGAGTGCTGGGATTATAGACATGAGCCACCACACCCAGCTTATAATTTTTCAAAATAAAACTTTAAAAAATATTTATAATTGACAGAGACAGAAAACATATCTTACCTCTTCTTTTGTGGCATTTTCAGGCACCCCACTTAATCGAATAAGCCTGCTAGGTTTCTCCTCACTTGGGCCAGTTCTATAATCTTGGTCCTTGAATTCAGAATGTAAAATTATTTCACAAATATACCTTTTTGTGCAAAATTAAACTCGGTATGAAATATAGACAATGAAAATAAAAAATGAAAATGACTTGCATTGTGCGACAATAAGAAAAACTAATTTTCCCTATTGTTTCCAGTCACCCTCCCAATTTTGTGGGGAGGTAGTTCTGGGAATTGAACTCAGGCCTTCACACTGAGCTGCATTCCCAGGCTGGATTCAAACTTGTGATCCTTCTGCCTCAGCCTCCCAAATGCTGAGATTACAAGTATGAGTCACCATGCCTGGTTGTCAAAATCTGACTTCAAATCATTGAATTACAAGTATGCTAAAACATGCTAGGTGTGGTGGTGCACACCTGTAATCCCAGGAGGATTAGGAGGCCAAGGCAGGAGGACTGCTCCAAATCTGAGGGCAGCCTGAACTACATAGTGAGTTTAAGGCCAGTTTGAATTATATAGCAAGACCCTGTCTCAAAAAAACAAAAACAGACAAACAAAAAAAACAAGTATGCTAAGACACAAGATCATTGAGAGAGTCAGAATGTTAAGAGAAACAATACCAGGTTTGGTGTGTGCATGTATTTAACATATACAAATTCAATCCCAAACACAAAAAGAAAGGAAAAAAGAAAAAAAGGATAGAGAAATACAATGAATATGACTTTTTTTTTTGGTACTGGGGATCAAACTCAGCACCTTGTGCTTGCACTGAGCTACATGCTCAGCTTTGTTTGTTTGTTTCGGACAGGGTCTCTATATGCTTGTTTGTTTTTGGTACCAGAGATTGAATTTGGAACCTTGTGCTTGCAAGGCAGATGGCTGAACCACTGAGCTAAATCCCCAGCCCCAGGTCTCTATATGTAGTTCAGGCTGGCCTTGAACTCACTATGTAGCTCAGCCTGGCCTCGAACTTGCAATGATGATCCTCCTGCCTCAGCCTTCCAAGTGCTGGGATTACAGACTGCAAAAACACACCCAGCTTGAATATGACATTTTTATAATTAGAAAAAGTATATATTCTTAACACTGTAACTTCCTTTTCCTGAAAGAGCAAATAAAAATTTAAACTAGGGGAAGTGGGAAGGGTAGGGGAAAGGAAATAAGGTTCAAGAAAAAATATGAGAAAAGGAAAAAAAAAAAAAAAACGCTGGGCGTGG